ACTTCAGTTTGTTTTAACTTTGCAATCGTATGAAGGCATTATCTGATAAGCTTATATGTACTCCTACTTTAATCATAGATTGATAAGGGGGTTTTAACGTCCCAAAACCACCATATGATTATGAGAAACGCCGTAGTGGAGGGCTCCGGAAATTTCGACCAACTAGGCTTTTTTAACGTGCACCCAACTCTGAGCACACAGGCCTACAGCGTTTTCGCCTCCATTGAAAATGCAGCCGCTCCAGCCGGGATTCGATCCCACGGCCTGATGTTAGTACTTTAGGTGTTTTATGTGATGGCAGTCGGTGTGCTTGTGCTGTACAAGTCATGTGCTCCATAATTATTCCCACTCCTGTAAAATGAGCAAAAGCTCAGCACTATGCGAGTAATTTTCGCTCTATATTAAGTATTTTGCCAATCTTCAGTCTGTGTGTTTTTATATGCATAAACAGGAACTCTGAAAGTTTCCTTCTTTCGCCTTGGTGTTTGGGCAGTAATAAAGTTTTGTTTGCGACAAATTTCTTTACAATGCAGGCTTCCAAGAATGCATGTTCAAAAAAAATACTGTGGCTGTAGTAGTTGCTTCCACGCAATACCACAGGTATTCCTAAAAGAGGCAAGCTTAAACACCTGAGATGTCACCTATTGTTTTCAATGTTGAACAAAAAGAGGAAAAAACGAGTATTCACGTGACTAAAATACTCCCTTTGTGCCCTTTTAAAAGGCCTAAAACAAGGCAAAATTATCGTTCTAATTACGCCAAAGATACTCGCAAGTAAGAGCCTTAACACCCCAATTTTTCACTGAGCCACAATGTCAGTTATGTTTTTGCCCAATGTTCGCCCTATATAACCCTTGCCATAAGCGTTTTTCTTGACTCCCAATTCCTTGTTGATTAATTTACTGTTATGTGAGGTTTATCATGCCGAAACCACTATATGATTATGAGAGATGCCGTAGTAGAGAGCTCGAGAAATTTCGACCACTTGGGGTTCTTTAACGTCACCCAAATCTGTACACACGAATTAACAGCATTTCCACCTCCATCGGAAATGCATCCGCCGTAGCCGGGATTCAATCCCGCCACCTGCGGGTCAGCAGCCGAGTACCTTAGCCACTGGACCACCGCGGCGGGACTGCTTCCGTTTCTTGGGCGTAAAAAGATCACTACCGAATTTACCTTTGCTCATTTGCAGCGCCAAGACATAATTACTCAACACAATATTATGTCGAATTGTAAAGCTGTACGTGAGCACAAATTTCATCCAATCTTCAAACCAATATGTTGTGGTCAGTGATGCACAAGAGCCTCATTCGATGCACTCTAAAGCAAAAGGGTGCTGAAAAGGATGTGTGCTTTGTGCTTTTGGAGACTAATGGGGCTGCCACAACCATTAATCCCTTTAAGGACAAACGGCACTGGGTCTAACAGTTAGTCCCCACAGACAAACGTAAGGGACTAATATTTAGTCCTCACATTTACACCTTAGTGAGTAACCGTTAGTCTCACAATTCACCTCAAAGGACTAACATTTAGTCCTCACAATTGCACCTTATAGAGCAACTGTTAATCCCCACATTTACACCTTACCGGGCAATCGATAGTCTTCACAGTTGCACCTTGTCGGACCAACGGTTGATCCACTCAAATACTCCCATCGGATGAACTTTTTGTCCCCGGTTCAAACATTCTTCTTGTTTATTTTCCGCCAGGCCTAATACTTTTTGCGCCTGTTTTTCTGCGCAGTGAGCAACAAATTGCACAGAAAAGAACACGCGAAAAAGTAGTCAGCCACCTATGTGTAACTGCTTTCGCAGTCACGGTAACAAAGAAAGACAAAAGTGAGACGTCGAAATCTTTTATTTTTCTACATACATATGAAGCTTCTCTATTTAAGTGAATTCATGGTGAAGTGTACAAGTCCAGTCTCGTTGCCAAATCTTGTTGACTCCTTGGGAAGCTCCTACGACGGAAGCGATGGATGACGGGCATTGCAAACGCCAGCGCACGCAACCTTCTGCCTGTTGTGTTCCCACGGCTGCACCTACATTATAGGAAAAATAGTTAGACACATGTGACAGAAAATGAACATGCACGCGTATGACAAGTACGTGCACATTAATATAAAAACAAGCGTTAAAATATCACACACAAATAACTTTACCTTCACATCTCGCACAGTCCTTCTGAAGCTGCTCTGACGAAATAAATGAATGACACGCATCGCAGAGGCCAGCGACACAGTCTTCGGCACGGTGTGGGCCCACGGCTGCACAATAAGTTGTGTTAAAATAGTTAAACGTGGCAGAAGATGAATACAAAGGCATAAGAGAAATACGTGCAAGGTGAAATGAAAACATACGTGAGATATGACATATTAATAATTTCACCGTGATGTCACACATCGTCGAGGACTCATTTCGATCCCCGTAGCGCAACAGCTTAGGAACGGCGGTCACACCCACTACTCTGCGAACCACCGTGCCGCTAACAAGTCGGCGAGTCCTAAGCGAGCGACGTCGTTCAGCTCGAGCAAGCGAACGCGACACCAAGCTTGGCCCTGCACGCGGAGTGTCTGCCGCCAGTGAACTTCGAACAGGAGAGCAAGCGTACGCTTGGCCAACGCCACAAACAGCGCCGAGCTGGTTTGGAGCTAGCGCCGATGCAATCGACGGTAATGCAGTCCTTTTCCACAAACTCGAGCGAGTGCAGAGCGCAAACGCGAGTCCGCCCCGCGGCCAACAGACGGCGCCGAGCTGCTTTCAACCGACTGACAGTAAAGCCAACTGTGATGGCGACCAATTTTCAGTGAGTTCCGACGCTAGCGAAAGCCCCGCCAGCCCGTGCTGGTGCACTTACAGCACGCGACATACTACAACCAAGCTCTTTACGAGAACCCGCAACGTGTTTTCGATGACTCCCAGCACAGAGGCGAGGTCTCAGCCCAATATCATCAGTCTGGAGCTCATCGTGGCGGCGAAGACAGGCGAGCACTTGGTGAGCGGGCGTACGGGAGGGCAACAACAATGGCGGCCTATTTCCAGGGGGTCGCAAAGCACAGGTGAACTGCAGACGCCGAATCTGACCGTCGCGATGCATTTCGTGCGTGCGATATGGAACACGACCAAGCCCGTTGACCGCAAGCGCGATCCGTAATGCACACGCGACAAGTAGAGAAGAATAAAGAATGATAACCTACTTGCCTTAAAATCCAGCGCTGTTTTCTGCCCCGAGTCGGACCGAATTATATATCCGATAGGCCTGTTGTCTTCTTGACCGCCAAATCGGCCTTCCCAACTGTTGCTGTCGTGTGTTGGTCATGACTATCTTGAAGCCAGAGATAAACAGCGCGGCGTGGTGACGTGTCGAGACTTGCTCCAGACTTCAAGGGTGCAGCCAAACGCAAAAGCAGCAGCCAACGCTCATCAAAGCGTACACACAAGCACCACGTCGTAATTCTCAGATCGTCGAATCCAGGCGGCCGTGGTCGAGCACTCCGAGCGTGACGCAGCGCCAACCGTCGCTGGCAAAATATGAGGAAAGACTGAGCCAGCAGACGAGAAGAAAGGAGAAGGAGAGCTGGTCACCTTGGCAACGCTTTTCGCGCTGCCTGCGATGCTTGGGTGGTACATCCCTTGGTGTCGCGCGGTCCGCTTCCCTCTGTGGTTGCTCTTCAATGGTCTATCCGTTAATCGCGCGCGCCTATTGGGCTCCGTTACTTCCTTTACGGGTAATTTTGCGTTAGAGTGTGGGCCCTCTTCTCACCGGGACACGCCAGACTATGCGCGCTTGCTCACTCTGTAATCGCGCACTCATGGCCGCTCCCTCGACAAAATAGTTTTGTAATTGGTACCCTCAGTGCCGCCAACAAATATTTCAGTGCTGCTTGCCTTCTAAAAACCTTGGGTATAGACCTGCGTTTTATAATAAGCGGGTAGTAAATCCAATATTAAATTCCCTGTCCTTACGCAAAGCCATAATTTGACGGTCCATAACTGCTAGTGAAACCACATTTTGCAACACGTTTTTATTTATTGTTAAAGCTTATGTGCAAGAGCAAATGTGGGCAATCTTTAACAAATATCAAAGTTGTTTTTAATATTCGTGTTAAGTTTGCACGAGTATATCTTTGTTAGTTTTTAAGCTTTGTTAGTTTTAAAATTAGGCAAAGTGAGAAAAAACTGCAGAATGTTTGCTGCTCTGTGAAAAACTTTTTGAAATAAAGGCCTTCAAAAGAAACAAAAAACTTTTCTTGGTCAAATTCAAGATTTTTATAGAAGTATGTGCACTAAACAGAGAAGAGTGAAATAACTGAACGTAAGCACAATTGCTCATTTACTTACCTAAATAAATTTGGAACTCGTAACTTTTTGTATTTTGAGTGTTTCATCACTAAATTAGAAAAAAAAACAGAAGAGCAAGTAAGCGTACTACTCCGCCTCTTCACCATTATTGATTTACTGTGCTTCGAAAAAAGTTTTTGCCGGCAAAAGCAATTGCAGTTCTCTTCTTTCCGCTCATCAGGCAAAAATCTTTAAATTTTTGAAAGAAATTTCACAGGTCGACCGGCAATGCTTTGTTTGATCCTACGTGAAATCACCCTTCTCTTTTTCCATGTAGTCGTGTTTATCACCTATTCTGTCGCTCTTTTTTTCTTTCTTTCTCGCTCTCTCTTTGTATTATCATTAATCAGAGTTATTGCATAACACGCCAAAAAATTAACAAACGTGCCTTTTTTGAAACTCTCATTATTTTGCGCAATGGCGAATAAACTGGGCACCTTTGAATAAATGAAATGACCCAAAGCTAGAAACTTTTCATGAAGCGCGGAAACTTCTGTCACTAATTACAATCAAACATCAATGCCTATTGAAACTATGGTTTTGATGACCTTGCCACGAGGTATACTTCCATCGAGATGTGCTCTAGTTACTAGGTAAAGACGACGGCACGACGACATTTAACCTTGATGTTTAGGCAGGTTTTTTCTCAAGTAAATTTTATGCGTTCGGTGAATCAAGCTCATTGTCTTCACGCATCCGCACCAGTGAAGTAACGTCGATAACGTAATGCGGTGATGAATTCTGTTCAAGCGTAATTATGCAGCTCTCCTGATGGGTACCAGAGCGTCTCGGTTCGCGAAATGTGTGTCGTGTAGGTAGTAGTAAAACCCTGTCAGTGGCAACCGCTGTGCTGACTTGGCGGGTATTGTCACTTTTGCAATGCATTAGGCCTTGGAGGTTTTCATTGACCACATAGTTCAAACGGCAACGTTGCGAGTCACCGATGTGGGTCATATGCAATACGAACTGGTGAGGTACAGGTGGTCCTGTACCAGTGTTGTCGACGCATATTGAAATCTCCCGCAAAGATGGCATATACATTGTTGAATCCAGCAGTCCAAAAAATCTGCGAGAATTGTTGAAACGAGACTCGTCACTTTTAATGAATTATATCAGTTATGCACAAGTATTTACTGTTCATAAAAGACGCACAAACTAGCTAGCCCTCATTGTCGAGTAGAACATTCACACCATAAAATGAACTGATTTATAGTAGTTGGCTCGTTATGAAACTAAACAGTAATGTGTTAACAAATGGAGAGTAGCATTGGGTATGCACGACAAGGTATCGACAATTTCACAAGAAGTCTACTTGTGTGAACTATATAGCGCCATTAGCTCAGCAACATTGACCATAAATGAAAACTGTGGAGTAAGTAAACAATCGTCACCTTCACTAGGAACGTAAAACAACAACCACCCACACAATAATGTTGAACAGCTAAAACCAGTATATTCTCATAGAAAGCATTTATGTGGAATAACTTCCACGTGGTTCTGCATTGTTTGCACCTTAACTTTGCAGACGGCAACAATGAGGTGTATGTTATGCTTGCTTTACCCACGCCGAGCTTTCTCATAAAAGTGGCCTGATCCTTGAAGCAACGCAGCAGCGGGTCAGATGCAGAAAGCTTCAGGATAAGGCGAATCACTTCAGGAGACGTTATGGCACCGGTTACGGTGAAGACAGCTTAAACTGTAGTGCTTTTAGGTCCCAAAGCCACAGTGCTATTATGAGGGACACCCGAGTAAGTGAGATAAAAAAGTTTTGCTCCCTTGGGGTTTAACGTGCACCAAACAATACGAACAGCTAGCTTGCCACGTATATTGAATCTTGGCTGCGACAGCTACGATTTATTCTCATGGCCTTCGGACTCCGTAGTCGAGAACCATAACCACTATACCACCGTGGTGGGTCAGATAGATTCAAGGGGGGGGGGGGAGGTATAATTACTCGCGAATAATTACCAAATGCAAAGCGTTCCTTCGCATTAAGTAATGTCAACGTATATATCCATCAAGCCGCTTACGTCTGGGTGCTTTGGTGATCCCCTTCTTAACTTGAGTGAACCAAAATTACTATGGGAGAGTAAGATGCATGGTTAGATCAATATGATTTGCTGGTCAGGACATAAAAGATGTCACTATCCTGTCGCGTACGTGTCAGACCCTCTTCTCTAGACGTGTGCCACACACCCTCGGGCTGGTATGTGCCACAGCTATGCGGGTTTGCGTAACAGATAATTGACAGTTTATATCTACCTAGTATTGGCGAGCACAGACACAGGTAATTTTAACGCGTTAGCGTCAACAAAAAGCAAGCATCGGCAGCGATGACCGGACAAATGCAGGAAATAGAATTCAGGGTCCCAGCAGGAATATAACCGCGGAATTCTGCTTGGCAATCAAGTATTCTACCACAGAGCCACGCCAGGTTTCTCAACTACTTTTCAGATACAACCGAATGTTCGTGAAACGTCCATTTTGGTTGCAGTGCTGGTTATCTAATCTGATAAACGTTATATATGTACTCATTTGACACAGCCGTCACGTCGGCCTAACGTCAATCGCAGTTAAGCGCATTGCCCCGAAGTTGACTTAGGTAGCAGTGTCCATGACTACCATCCTCGCGGGCACCAGTGCTTCATATCAGATTACCGTTTCGGAAGTTTTTAATATCCATGTTGCTCTTGGCATCGTTATGCCACTGTAAACAACGGGCTATATAGAACATACGTCACGGTGTAACGTATGTCTATGGATAGATTTGTACAAATCTTTAGCGTCCCCTCGTAATATTTCATCAAGTAATAGATATAATACAGTTACGTTCCTGACGCCTGCTTCGCATAACACCGATTCCTAAGGTTAGCGACATCAGGAGAATTCGGTCTAATATGTAAATTTAAACAAGACTTTCACACATTTCGTCGGGTACCATTTGAGTTCTGTATGAATTGCTTTGTTGTCTTTTTATTATCTTGAAGTTTCGTTTTTCATTTCTAACTTAGTTTTTCCAAGCGACATGAAAAAATTCCGACCAACTATGAACCAGAATACAGCGAACTTCATGCGTCCCGCCATATTCACAAGCGCGTCGCTTCATCTATGGCAAACGTGACGACGTAACCTCCCTGGAATGCCATGCGAAGAGACGCTGCACCAGTGTTTTAAGGAGTGGCGTTCCAAAAACGACCTTCAAGGAACTGCTTCCTTTTTTGGAGGAATGAAGGTACGCCAACCTTCCATTCATTATTGGTGGAACAGTAACGGTAACTTGTTACGTTTACGAGAGAATAGCATAGGGAACGTCTTTACTTTTGTAAACGTTTCACGACAGTGAACAGGTGCATGGGCGCAATGCACGCAGTCCTTAGCTGTGAGACCATGCCAATGAAGTGGGGAGTTTAGAAATTTATTGTCTCTGCGTTTCTCTGCAGCGTGCGCGCACGCTAGAAGAGCATAGCAAAAGTTTTCTATTGTATAATAATCAATGGGGTAGAAAACGAAAGTGAGGGTGAGGAAGATAGAAAATAGGAGAGCAGAACGAGTCTAGAGAAACTCAGAGAAATAAAAGATACAAAGAGAAATAGAAATGTAGAGGGAAATAAATCGAAGGGAGACAAAGAGACAGAACGAAATATATACAGACATGTGTTCGCCGACTGCAAACTGGGTATTTACCTTACTTGAAAATGTACATCCTATTCAATATTTTCTTCTCACACTGAAATTTGAAATCACACTGTACAAGTGTACGAGCATTATCCCTTTTTGGGTACTTTTTGATCAAAATTTTTAATATTTGTACATATGAGTTTATATTTTGTTGGAATATTAGAACAAGTATAGCAAACCCAAGTATACCAAAATATAGCAAAACGTTATAGATAAAGGAGAGAAATAAAAAAAGCTGAGCAAATTAATCTAATCGGAAAGAACAGAAGACAGAAGAAAACATATACAGGAATAGGTTCGCTGACTGCAAACAGGATACTACACTGAGTTAAAAATGTATATCCTGGACAATATTTTACACTCACATTTAATTTAATGATATTGGTGCATTGGTCAATATTGCTATTTCATTATCTGAAGCGTAGTATTATGACTGCGCCTTTTAAGCCGAAGTGTAATGGGCCACGTGAATTTGACTTGAAATAGGCGAGCACAACAGTCGCATTTTTCAAGTGGCCTCTAAAAAAATTATCAAAATACGTTAATTTAGATTAATTTTGCGTAAAAATAGCCGGCTGGCAATCTTAAATTCGTTAAATATACGTAGCTCATTATGATACTTGAATTATTCACTTTATTTTGCCTCAAGATTATTCGACACTATATACTTATGAACCCCTTACCTGCTTCGGATGAGCAGAGTTCGTCTTGCCTAAGCTGTCCCCAAACACCTTAAAACGAGTAGAAAGTCGTTCTAGTGGAATAGGTACTGCCATCTAGCATTCAAGCAGTGAAGCGCAAATTAGCGGGTTACATTGCGGGCGAGTGCCTAGATGGCAGCACATGCTAAATGATTTTGTTTCTCCTATGGCAGGAGCGATGTTTTAGTATAAAAAGACGACGTGCAGTGGCGGCAACGCGTGCATAGCTGGCACGTGAACATGATGAAGACGCCATTTCTTTTCGTCATGTTCTTCAAGTGATGATAATTCGAGTTCACATATTTAGGTCTCTTCGATTTGGCTTGCACTGCCTGCACTACTTCTGAAAAGTGTCACAGCAGTGCCATCGGCGCTGTGGGCGCGCAGCACCGGTTCAGCAAATTCAGGTGCAGCCGTGACACTACAGCCCTGCGGCTACTGCCAAAACGAAGATGAAACTGCAGGCAGAGTTCGTCGAATAGCCAACGTGGCGTTTATGGATGGTCTTGTTTACCAAAACACTGCCATAATGGCTGTGTTCATGCCGTATAAAAAAAACTGCTTGACAGCGTCCATGATTCCGACAATGCCGATCTGAACAGTAACAGAGAATGTGTTGACAGAGTTTATGTTTTCATTCATCCTTTGCTCATTGTACGTGTATATGTCAGTCATACGTTCTCAGGTACAGAAACTTTGTTGGACACTTCCACGAGTATGATTTCAAGAGGTGGTTAATACTGTCTATAACGACCATTCAGCGGTTTAGTAGTGAATCCCGTACTGTCGGCCTTCTATTGAAGTGCGTGCGAGACCATAGAGCAAGAAAAATCGAAAAATCCCGGGTGTTCTTTCATCAACAGAGCCACTCTTCTTCACGCTATTTCATTATAAGACACGCGAGCAAGCTCCCTTGAATACATATTTTAAAGCTGTCTTCTTGATAGCTACCTGCCGCATCATCTTCTCGCTTTCGTAAAGACAAAGTGAGCGCGCTGCTTGTGCCTCGAGCTGCATTTTTATTATTTAACCTTTTTTTCTACGATTCTTACTGCAGTCAGCCACGGAGGATTTTTCTGCTCATGAGACACACATGTACCAAAATACACTTTAGTAGCTGCCAATAAGACACGGCTAAGATTACCCATCAGTGGCAGGAGCTTGAATTAACTGTTTGCACTTACACGCATGCCCTGAACAACACACAATGTCGACGTCGTCTGCTCTAAGCTTGGGAAGAGGAACGGGCGCACGCCATGCTCCACCTCTCTGCACTTCCTTTTGAGCAAGAGCGGGCCGGCAGAGAACTCGTGCAACACGACGCTTGAACCGTGACAAGACGATGAAACCAGTGCAGAGTACGCACGAGGCACCAGTAAATCGAGAAGAATGAATGGTGTTGCACCCGTTAAACTGGTGCCACAGGTGCACCAAAATCAAAGATACCTTTTATCTTGTGTCCGAAAATACACACAGCGATTACGATGAAGGAGCGGCTCCATCGGTAATGATGAAGGCAGCTCAGATGCGAGCATTGCTCGTGCACGCCAGGGAAGCCACTTTGCATTATTCCGCGTTTTGAAATTTTCCACACAGCTTTTAGGCTTCCCAGATGAAATACGCGAAGCGTATACTTAGCCTATAAAGTGAAGTGAGGTGTGGCACTCGTAACTATTTTGTTTATAAG